ATTTTATGAGTTAAATTATATATAAATATATATATTTATATATATTATATCTATATTTATGTGTTCTGTGTTCTGCTTAAAGCATTTGAGGCATTCAAAAAAATTAAAATTTTAAATTGCAATTATAGTATCAGGTAATGTTATTTTATTATAAATGCTTAACTGTTTAAAAAGTTGATTTTCAAAGTTTTATTACTTTTATCAGTTTAATGAATTGAGTACCAAATAAAGTATAAACAGTATTTATAAAAGTATATATAAAGTATAAAAACTATAAATTGAGGACTAAATAAAGTATAAATAGTATGCCCCAAATACCTGATATACGAAATTATTTATTTAAGGAATGTTAACATATGTTTTAAGGAATTGTTTCAATAAGAAACTAGGTAATCCATGTGATGTTTCTGGTCTGCTCTGAAAAGCTAAATTAAAGAATGAGTTATTAGCAAGAGGCTCCTTATTATTAATTTCATCTTTAGTAGATGTCTATTCAATGAATGTGATCCAGACTACAAATCTATATATGACTGCCCATCCAAATGACTCAATATTTGTTTCTGGAAGCTGGGATGGGAGTGACTAGAAAGTGGTAATGAAGAAACTTTTTGGATGATTGGAATGTTTTATATCTTGAGGGAAATGTCAGTTTAACAGGTGCACGCATTTTAAAAAATGCATCAAATTGTATACTTAAGTTTATGCATTTTGCTATATGTCAGCAGGAAAAAAGAACAGAAAACAAATATTAAATCCTGGTTGATGATTCTGCTTTATGCAGCACTGTGAATTAGCAGTTACCAAACTCCTTTTTGTGTTCCAGGCTTTCCAGGCTTCAGCAAATACGTCAGTAGTTTGTGGATAACAGGAACAATGGTTTTTAGTATTGAAATCAAGAGGTTAAAAAAACAGAAGACAAGATGTGAATTTACCCTGTAGTATTCTATTTGAATTGGAGTCATTGTTTTGAGTTTATATTTATAGGTATATAACATAGCTTTGTTCATTGAGTAGTTTTAGGAAAAGGACAGAGTAGCCATAAGCACACAAGAACATGTTTACCAAAATACAGAAATAACTGAAATTAGTTAAATAGAAATAGGGTTTTTTTTTTTTTTTTTTTTTTTTTTTTTTTTTTTATAAAGAGGTTGACTTGAGGGCTAGGATAGAAAAAGCACAAGATTAACTTGGAACATTTTATTTTGACAGAAAATAAAAGAAGTTCTCAAAGAGTGGGACGATATTAAGGCTGATGAAGGAGTAAGCTTGAAGGGGTTTTCTTTGATTTTATTTTTTCGAAATAGAAGAATTTTCCTACCTAATAACTGGCCTGTATACAAAAATATTAAAAACAAGAAATACAGAAAGGAGCTACTTTAGACTAAAGGAGATGAAACAAAATGTAGCATCCAAATGCAATACATTACCCTAAATTGGTTCTAACATGGCAAATATGAATTAAATAAAGAGCATATTTTTGACAATTAATTAGAATTGTATTTCATTGATGTTAAATATCCATGATTTGCTGTGATTCTGTAGGAAATACCCCTGTTTTTAGTAAAAATACACTGAGTACTTGAGAATATAAAAACACATCTAACCTACTACTAAATTGTTCAGAAAAAGAAGTCTCCTGACTTAGAAAGGGATGATAATAAAATATACAGAGGAAAATGTAAGCAATTGGTGAGTCTGAATAAAGGTATAAAGAGCTCTATGTACTATTTTTGCATTTTTTATGCATGTTTGAAATTATATAAATATAAAAATTTCAGAATATAAATATGCTTAATATCTGTTGTGCAATACTTGACCTCTTCTTTCATAGAGCTTTCCTATCCAGGAACTGCAACACAATAAACATTTTATTGCACATTCTTGCAGTGAATTGTGGTAGGCAAAAGCATTGCAGCATCTGATTGTTGTCCTGACAAGCAAGATAGAGATCCTTATGAACTTTTTACAGATGAGGAACTGAAACTTGGAGATACTAAGTTGCTTGTCCATAACCACACATGTGGTTGGCTGCATATATAGGATTGAAGTCCTGTCCTTTGGTTCAAAGTCATATTTGCCCTTTAAACCACAACAAGGTTGGCCCACCCTTTACCAAATCCTTCTTTTAAGGTCGTAAAAGGACAACACCATAATAGAGAAAAAGAACAGAAGGAAGTTTATTTAGAGTCATTCAGGAGAACTTAGCCTGAGGAATGCAAATGAAGGGTTGATGATAACATTAAACAGAAGAGTTGTTCAATTAAACCATTTAACCACCTGCAGGTTAAAACACCTGGAAAAGGTTTACACTGAGGGCAAGCCACTTGTGTAGCATGAGTTCAATAAATTGCTTGATCTGGATTGCTCTTTTTTATTAGGAAATTAAGCTTTTCATAGCACAATTAGGGTTTTAAATAGATAAGAGTCAGTATTAACATACTGATAAAAACAGTTTTTGATTAAACAATCTAAAAGAATATCAGAAACTTTCTTTGGTAGAGACATGAGTAGAAAAAGCAAGAAAACTCTTAGGCACTAGAGAAAAAAAAATAATTCCTTTGAATGCCTAAGGAGAGCAAAATGCATGGTAGGTAAGGATAATTTTGAATTCATCACAATTCTAACACAACTTGCCTTTGCTTGTGCTTAAGTTGAAACTGTGAAAAGATATTTTAATGTCCTATGTGATTGTGTTAGAGAAGCAGGAGCATAGGAGAGCCAACATAACACCACTTTGACTTCAGCCACCTCTTGAGACTAACAGGACAAATTCCTTGCTGGTCATGACCCATAGTCATAAAATGTTTACAGTCGAGAAAGCAGCCTATAGATACCTACAAGGACATATTCTTATAACAATGGAAAGTCTAGATGTCTCAACATCCATAACAATATATGCTTTCAAGATAACTATGCTTTGACACACTGCAATGTCAAGGACTGTTTTCTCTAAATCAATAGAATAACAAATTTTATCAAGCTTACTTTCATGTAGACAGTTTTGTTTAGTCTTTACATAGACAAGACCCACATATAAGAAAAACTTAAAGGGTGTTCCTTCTCTTGCTTTCTAAGGATGTACTACCCTGTGACTTAGGAGCTTTCAATAAACAATCTTTTTGCACTGCACTCTGCAATTCGTCCTGAATTCCTTCCTGTGTGAGATTCAAGAATCCCCTCTTGGCCTCTGGATCTGGACTCCTCTCTGGTAGCAACTGGACATGTGTTTTTATATTAGGCATAACTGCCTTTCTATTTTCTTCATATATTTTTGGTTTGGAAAGCTATGATATTGGTATCATTGATCTATTAGAAGTACATCTGTAAAACTCATAATTTTTATTAAGACATCACTAATATTACCGTGAGCCTGATTGACATTTAGAAAGCCTATGTTCAGCAAGAACATTAAACAGGAATTTTCCAAATTCAAGGTTAATATAGCAAGGTTGCTATCTTATTAAGATCTACATATGTGCAACAGAAAATACTGACTCTTTAGCTAAAACTAGCTTTAATTTGCAACACAGTTAGGATATAGATGTTAACTATCTGTGACTTGCCCAAAGCAAACAATATATGTAGATAAAGGTTAAAGCCAGGCTTAGGAGGGAATGGAAAAACGGCCTCTACAGACACTTTTATAGTATGAAAATAAATTACAATATGATTATTAGAAGGAAGCGAAGTCAAGAGGGTGCACTTTAGTTATGGGAGAGGCTGTAATATAATCTCCACAGAATCAGAGAGAGCTTTAGATGTAGATGGGATGGTGCTGTGGATAGCTCCTTTGGAGACCAGCTATTTGGCAAACCTGAGATCTAGTTGAGGGTACTTTTTTTGCAAAGTCCTGGGATTATGCATTTGAGCCTACTTTTACTGTGATATAATGGGTATTTAGGAATAGGTACAATCTGTTAATGCTCATTCTACCTGGCTTTCCCTATCTCCTTTAAAATTTTCACAATCTCTGTGTTTGACAATTTTTAGTTATTTACTCAAGGATCTTAAATGTCTGTGTGGGTGTAAGGAAAGTTAAGTCTTGTAACCTGGTTAACTAAGGCTACCTCTTCCACGCCTGAGCACGCCTGGTTCTTTCCTCAGAGGTTCTGGATGCTGGCTACAGAGAGGCTTAATCTAATCCTCATGGGTAAGGCCATTCATTGGATGTCTCACTGGCATAGGGACAGGAGATGAGTCCTAAGTTAGGCTCATACATCTTCTATGAGGAAGCTTCTTTTTTCCTGACCTAATTCATAACTATGTGACTACCTAAAGAGGTGGCATCTTTCATGTGGAAGAGGAGAATGAACATTTTCTTGGGCTCAGGATTATTTATTTTTTTCTCCTTTACTCCCGCCCACTTCCAACCACTCTGGTCTCTCCTGTAATACTACAAAACAAATGCCAGAATTCAACGTGAATCTTGTTTTATTATTGTATAAAACAGAGTTAAATATGCTTGATATTAGTTCTAAATTTCAGTTAATAGGTAGCAATCAAAATAGATCTGACTTAAGAACTAAGTACTTTTATCCTAATTCACAACAAAGTGCATATCCATGAACTTCTAGAGCACGATATAGTTGTAATTTGAGGGCTACCTAAGCATACTTTCTGATATTGACAATTTACTAACAATAAATATTGGACAAATGGAATGGTAACCAGTACATCTATACAATAAATACTAATTTCACACTCAAAAATGCTTACCTTGTGAATTGGCAAAAATTTCTATTTTTATGTATGTAAAAGGATCTAATTATGTTATATCTAATGTAGGATCATTAATATATGTATCGAATGCAGAATAATTTTTAAAAATTTATCTCTTTTCATACATGACATTAATGGGAAAATAATTGGAATGTTTATAATGTCCTAAAAAGCAGGACTTCCCCGGTGGGATGGTTTTGTGAGTCTGCATAAAATCGGATGCTTGGCAGTGCCTGCCGTGGCGACCTCGTTTGGGAAGAGACACCTGGTGTCACACTCACCCATACACGCAGTGCGCAGCAGACACCAGCCAGTCACTACTGACGAGAGAGGCTCCACAGAGCAGACGGCCGTCGTAATACAGAGCCACAACCCAGGGCCAGGCTCCTTCTTCTGCATTACTTCCTCCAACAATCTTTGGGGTGATGTCTTGAGCCACCAGTTTTTTTCCACAAGCTATTCAAATAATTGGAGAAAGAGCATTTATTTCTGATAGTGAAAATTGAGTGGTAGTAAAATAACTTCAGACACACAAAGTCCATTCAGAATTTTAAACAGAATGCTTGAATGGGGGTATGAGAACATATTTACTTACATTTACGGTTACATTGTAACAGAATCAAGGAATCCTGTAAACACCGTTGACTGTAATAGAAGAACAATCCTATTTTTAAAATTACTCACTTAATACTTTAAAGTCAAACATTGTGTAGGTTATCCTGCTTTTGCTTTAGTAAAATGGACCTCTTAATGTCTCGTATACGAAATGTAGGGAGAATGATTAACAAGCTGAAGAAGCCCCAGTTTAATGTCAAATAGAGGTGAGTTTGCACCCTTATTCTACCATTGCTCTGTGACTTCGGGGGAAGTTGCTCAATATCCCTGAGACCCAGTTTCTTCTTCCATAAAATGGGGGTAATAGTACTTTGTTGGAGTGTTGTGAGAATAAAAAGCAATATTTGCAATAAAACTATTACAGGGCCTTATACACAATGAAATTCTGCAAATGATAGGTATTTTTATTTTACTTGAACCAATCTTGGTTTTCGTCATTCAGTAACACAGAGTATGCCTCAGTATTGCCAATCCCACAATATCATGTGCCCAACACTGTGTACAAGGCTGTGTGCTTCATTCAGGAAATTGAATGATGAATGAGTCACAGGTGCTGCTTTCAAGGAAGGCAGACACGTAACAAGCACATATAAAAGAAAGCTTAGGCATAAATTACTGAAAACTCATCACCTGCTTAGAAATTTAAATACCAACTTTTTTAATGTCACGAATTCCATTTTAAACAAAAACTAAGCAAATTTCCTTTACAATGCATTATACTTACCAGCCACTAGAGATCAGCATAACACAAGAAATTAAAGTACTTGTTCCCACTATTTCCAAAGGCAACCATGGCGAATATCAGCTACATTAAAACAAGCGCATTACACATGCGAATACACATATAAGTGCAATGACTTACATTTATATACTTAGCTGCAGCTGACTGTGGTTTAGGTCTTTGAAAATACAACATAAATAAGACCTAAGATCCATATATCCAATCAAAGCAATTTAGTGTTTCAGGAAAATATATGATAAAGTTTATTTGAAATCGTGTGTCTCCATATCGTATGACTGGCACATTCTTTAGAATACAGAATAATTTTAATTGAAATATAAGGAAGTCTATCATTTTAGTAACGAGGTTGTATGCATGTATATCAATCTAGACATATCGACATGCATTTATAAAACCCCAAAGGAAATCTCAATTAACTCCTTTCTTTTTTAACCCAGTGATGGGAGATGGTGGTCTGAGTCTTACATGTATCTGACAATAGGTTAAATAATCAGAATATAGGTAAGTAGACTTTTATAGCTGGCTGAATAATTTTCCCTGACATCCCCTTCTTTTACTTATTTTTTATTACAATCACTAGTGCAAGGACATTTTATTTATTTATTTATTTTAAGGACATTTTCAAAAGCACCAGTTTTCATACAGCTACAAACATAATCATCTATGCAATAAATAATAAATGCATAAATCAATTAACCAAATGAATAAATAAATGAACATATGTCTGATTTTCTGCCAACCAAATATAATGTGGCTGATTAAGGAAGGGATTAAGGAAATTTAATTAACTGACTTGTTGACATGATGAAAGGTTAAAATAGGTCTATAAATGATACCTCTTTCAAACAACACAAACATACATTATAATAGTGACATCAATGGAAAATGATACTGGCATTTTGCTGATAAGCATAGAATAAACTAGTTCTGTTCTGAAGCATGCATATAATGAACATAAAAGATTTTAAAGATTTTTTTTCTTACAAATTTTTAAATGCGTCTAAGACATGAAAGATAGAAGAAATTCTCAGCATACAAACTGCTTCAGGATCAATACGGTAATATAAGTTTGGATACGCCTTACAGGAAAGGAAATCTAGAAGCCTGCTTTCTCACTTGCAGAGGCTTTGCTTCATATCTGATGAGACTCATCATATCAGTCAAGGCCCAGCAAACATTGATATAAAACATCCAACTGCAAAGTTCTTTCATTGGTACTAAAAATACTTCTTCACCAGTTTTATTCTTTTACTGGTTAAGCTCACAGAAATGGTAACTTTTCACGAAAAACTGAATAATTATCTAATTTCATTTTTACCATTAAACAAAATATACCAGCAAAGTATCTTAAATCCTTGTTAGTAGCTGCGGCTTCTTGCGGTTATGTTCTTCCCACCCACAGCTGTTCTTTAATCGTACTGTAAAATTAGGAAGCCAATTTCAACAAGAATTACTATTAACACCCAAATAGGAGAAAGGACTTAATCTAAGCTAAAACAGCTCTTTGGATACAGAAAAGATGCTGCTTTTTAAAACCTTAGCAAAGGCTATAAACGTAAACCTTATATTAAAAAGTAAAAGAGAATACGTAGACATGGCGAGAAGTCTAGACTTCTTCATTTAATATGCATGTTCTATTTGCCAACAAAGAGGAAAGAATATCAGAATTCTTCCCTCTTTCTTCTCTTTTAGTGGTAGCTAATCTGTGCTGCCTTCTTTAGTTTGATCAACACTGGACCCGTTTTATCCCAGTTCTCACAATTTCTTTCCATGTGATTTAATCGTTTATTAATGTGAGGCTAAGGCTAAAAAAGCGTATAAAATTAAAACACGTCAAATCCCTATGAGTGTGCCAGAAATTTACATATAGAATATTTCTTTTGAACATCTTATATATTTTAAGATTAGAAAATGTTAACAGATAATATTAAATAGATACAGTTTGAGATTACTTAAAAAATAATGTAAGTCAAATAACTTTCAAGGTTTTATGACCAGTATGTAATAGCATTCATTGGCTCCAACAATCTATCTTCTTCTGTATCTCTGTACAACTAGTCTAAGAACAGGTTTTGGGACTCACCTGGGTGTTAGTATTAAGCTGCCATCAGGTGCTGTGTTTAATTTGACAAAAGGTCCACCATCAGTAGAGAAAATTGGCATTGATGAGTTTCCACTCCTAGAGAAAAAAGAAAAAAGCATACAGAAAAAATAAAAACATAAAGAAAAGACCATAAGCTGGACTTTTAGTTCCTTACTGCTGTGGACATTAAAACAAACTATGAGATTCCGGCCAAAAAGATTAATATTTTAATATAAAACTTCAAGTATTTTCCAATCTAAAGTATGATGCAAATCAGTAGAATTACTTATAATCATATGAAATGTAATTTTAACTTTGATATAATATCTTTAGTCATTGTTTGCATTCTTATATATTATTTTACAAAGTTAAAATCATAACGTATGTCACTTAGTTATCTGGTTTTATAAATCCTATTTTTCTATGTTGTGAAAAGTTTCCATAGAAACCACTTTGAGTGACAGTTTCATAACATTGGTGCACTGTGATTTATTAAGCGTTTCTCCTGTTGTACAGCTTCTTTTTTTAGAACATCTTTTAAAAAGTACTTGTAGACAACAACATAGACAAAGGCTGTTTTCAGTGTTTACCTTGCAAAACGTTGCTTTGTTCTTGATATTTCATTCGATTCAAAAGCTAACAATCTCTAATTTAAAGGAAGTCGTGATTGCTTTAAAAGAGACACTATGTAGCCTTGGCATGTAAGTGTCAATTGGCGAGGAACCACTGGGTGGAGACAGAGATACCTCTGTATGATCAGAGACATTTAGGCCACAGGCTCTCTTTTCCCTGAAAATCTACAATTCCCATGCTCTCAACTGTGAGCTTTAATCGAAGATTTCTCTGAATTATCCTGATGCTCTTTTTCAGACTTAGCTGGAGACTTTTAGCTTTTAATTCTTTAACTTGTTTCTTGCCTTTTATTTATTTCAGATTTTAATCTTCACATAAAAATATGCCTTTAGGCTGGAAACATCTTGATTTCTGTTCTCTTCCATTGCAGAGCAGGGAGGTGATGTGGTTCTACCTTTTGGAGTACTGTGATGGACCTACCCATTCATTGCCTCTTTAAAAGAAGGTCCAATGGCTTCCCCAGGCTATTGCCAACACTGATCCCTTTCTGTCTGTTTCCAGAGAATTTCCAATTACCGGTCAAAGCTTTCTGATTAATAAGAATTTAAGAACTATTTAGAAGGTGGTTCTTCTCTCTTTTAGTGCTTTTATCAAGCTGAAAGAGTGTTTGTTTAGTATCTTCAATCTACTGAACACAGAGCTGGGACAATAGATGTCTATTTAGTGTTTCAGAATTTAAATCTTGCACTTCTGTTGTACAAACAGTTAAAAGTAACTCAAACATACAAAACTACCACCATTCTTTAACGAAGCCTGAAATGTGATTTACCAAAGGAAAGATGAGCCTTGAAATTGCTATTGTTAGATCTTATATTATTCCTCCACATGGGCAGAAGGATCATCTTATTTAAATATGTATATAAAACGTATTTGCTATGGCTTAGAAAACAAAACAGGGATGAAGAACTCAACGGGTAGCTGAGAATGTGGAAAGCCTGGAATGCTTCAGGTCATGAACTACTTCCCAGATGCAGAATAGTTGTATTTAAGGACTCCCACATTTAGAGCAGACCAAATGTAGATGAAAACAGATCTTAAAGGACCTTTAATTTTACCATTATCACAGGTTTTGATAGAAACCATCACAGTAATCTCAGCTTTCAAAAATATTAATGCCATTCCAAATTAAAGAGGCTTTAGCTGTGTTTCACTGTCTGCAGGCTCCAGAAATATCATGGGAATGGGTTGATTAATGAACATCACTGCTGCCAGGGTAAAGTTGGTTGAGAGAGTCATTATTCACCAACCTATCTTCTATACATCTCTCTTCTTTTCTTGTGCTTGATCATATTTCAAGTCTCTTCATTCTGCCGAATGCCTGCCATGTGTTGAACAATATTCTAGGTAGTTTTCCATGTTCCTGACTCCCCATGACACATTCTCAAAGTGTTGCTCTCCAGACAAGCAGCAACAGCCTCAGGAGAGAACATGAGTCAAAAGGCAAATTCTCCAGCTTCATTGCAAGCCATCTTAGCAGTCAGGCCTGCGCCAGGGTAGGGTCCAGCTATCTTTATTTTACCAAGCCCTCCAGGTGGTCCTGGTGCCTGCTATAGTAAGGAAATCATGTCTTAGCCAAATAAGGCATCTTTTTCTGCTACTGGCATGATGCTCTGCTTTTTGATATCCGAAGTGACTTTTAGTTACCTGATAATCTGTTTTAAGGCACTCATGTCTAAATGAGGAAACTGTTTGAAAGGTATCTCATTAAAAACAGATGTTGGAGAAGTCGATTTTAGACTCTTCATTTATCTATAGCTATTCTTTTCCCCTGTCCCTCTCTTGAATGTCTCTTTTAAGACAGAGCCTGAAGAAATACCTTCTTTTCTTTCTTCCCTTCTCTCCTTCCTTCCTTCCTTCCTCCCCTCCTTCCTTCCTTTCTTTTTTCTTTCTCACTCTCTTTCTTTTTCTTTTTTTCGAGACTGAGTCTCCCTCTGTCACCCAGGCTGCAGTGCAGTGGCACAATCTTGGCTCACTGCAACCTCTGCCTCCCGGGTTCAAGTGATTCTCCTGACTCAGCCTCCCGAGTAGCTGGGACCTCAGGCATGTGCCACCATGCCCAGTGAATTTTTTGTATTTTTATTAGAGATGGGGTTTCACTATGCTGGCCAGGCTAGTCGCGAACTCCTGACCTGAAGTAATCCACCCTCCTCAACCTCCCAAAGTGCTGGAATAACAGGCGTGAGCCACTGCACCAGGCCAGATACATTAATTTCTCTGGAAATTCATACTAAAGTCTGGAGAAAATGTAAATTGAACAAACATTTAAACATCATTTATAAATAATTTTTAAGTGAGCCTATTTATTACACATCTACTTCTCGCATGCACTCAGATAGGACTGACAGTGATTTTTTTAAAAACATATCCCTATTCTAGAAGAAAAAAGGATAGAAACAAATCTTTAAGAATAATAGGTATTCAGTAAATGCCAACTGTTCTACTCTGAGATTCTCAAATGCTGCTCCATGGTGGCACTTTCACTATCCAGCAGAGAAAAATGGAGGTATATATACACACAGGGATAAAAGACATGTAAACTTATATTCTGAGATGATCTTTTCAACATTTTTTGTCTCAAATTTAACACAAGAAAGCAAATATAAATATATTGTCTTGGGTTATTTAGAGTAGCTGAAGAAAATACTCCTTCAAAAATAGTTACAAAATTCTCACATAATTATATTTTTGTACCTAATATTGTTAACAGTAATGTAAGAGCATGGTATAGGACTATTAATTCATACAAATAGTTACCCAATTGCCAATCTTACATGTTAAATTTGGGATTTGTAAGGGACTACCTGCATTTCAAGTTCTGCCAAGTCAAACTCATTCTTTCTCTGACAAAACACAATTTATTTGTTTGTATTTACAGTAAACAGATTAAAAAGCAGGAGAGGTTTACAACAAACTATTCCTTATTTTAAGAAATGATGAGGCAACAAACATACAATAAAAATCTTCTGGACAAAATGAAAGATTAACTACCCTATGTTAAGTCACCACTTACTTTTAAAAGACAAAAATCTCAGAACTACTAAAAAATTGAATTCGGAGAGAATCATTATATTAAGTTCTATAACTAAAGCATGTACCTGAGGCTCTTACTGCCTCAGTTTCCTTTTCTTGCAAGGAAATTCATTGTTAATTTTTAGAGAGGTACTCTATGAAGATTAAAACTAGAGTGTACATTTTCTAAATCTTAAAAATACTCCAGATTTAGATAACTTCATTACACATTCACATGGCTGTTTGAAATCAGAAGTGTAGAATCACATAGAAACACTATATAGCACTACCTTGTCGACATACTGATGCCTCCTGGAAAGCTATTTCCAAGCTTTATTGCCATTTTTATGGGTTATTTAATCTCAAAGGCTATTCTTACTTTAGGAGAACTTTGTTCCATGTGAGAAAAGAAGCATATAGATACAACCGTTATTATTTTTGAAGTCATAGATGGAGTATAAAAATATACTCATAGATGAATTCTAGCGAGAGAAAAAAGGATATCTCAAGGATATTTGCATGGTATTAAAGCTTCTGCCTCTCTTCTTAGGCCCTGCCTAGGTTTCTTCCCTTTTGTCTTGCTTCTCAGGCTGTATTTGCTGTGATAAGAATTCTTCCCTGGAGCAGGAGCTTAGGCAGGGATGTTTTAAAGCCTTTGGACACACTAAAGCTAAAAGGAGTAATAATGCATGCTGCAAATCTTGCAGCTAGGCACTGTAGCTCATTTCACATCCCAAAAGGCTTAAGTAATGAATAGAGCCCAGTGGGATTAGGCTAAAAAGGCTTTTGGAGAAGGATAGTCTTTTCTTTTCAGATTGGAGGGAAAGAAGGGGATTGATTTAGCAGGACAGAAGGTGGGGAGACCATTTGTATAGGCAGGGGCTTGGTAGATAGAAGAGATTTGATGGCAAATCATCCCACTAGGAGAGTGAAGGCATGTGGGCAGGTAGGTAAATACCATTTCCAAACTGGACACATTTCAACTAAAATTGCTCAACCGTGTATTGAATTTACAGCAATACACCTAGCACACACCTAGCCCCATGATAGCTCTTAGCAAACAGGTAAGTTTAATTAATTTTAGATTTTCTGACTTCAACCCTTCAGTTGGTGGCATTTACTCAGAAGTGAAGAAATGTCAATAAAAACAACGATCTTAACCTAATCAATTTCTACTTTTGTGCAAGCTATTGTATTAAGAACAAGAGACAAAATATGTCTGAGAGAAGTGATACTTCTAGGATTGTCAAAGAGACAGGCTCTTATCCTCAGCAACATCTTGGAAACCTTGGGCAACATGAACCACTTTACCATTTTAACATTACTTCCTTAGCTGCTATTGCTGTTGTAGTTCTGGGTTTTTTTTTTTTTTTTTTTTTTGGTTTGGAGTAGGAGGCATATGACACCCACATCCACATTTGCTATTAAGCATTCTCAGAGCATTTTCACTTTCT